CGCAGGCGCGTGCCCTTGAGGAGGCCCCGCCCCCGGCGGTGCGGGCGGGGGGAGCGATGGCCGCGGCCGGGCGGGAGCTGCTAATGTGCAGGGACCTGTGAAACTGGAGATTTACTTGTGGTGTTAGACATCACTCGTGGTTTACCAGCTTTTATATTTTTTCCCCCTGTATTTTACTGTAATGTGTATAATTTAATTTACACTTTTTCCTAGCTACCCTCTGCAGTCATTACCCACTTACGTTTTGAAACCTTTAACTCCTTGCCTAGTAAAGACAGACCTTGGACAGTCTGAAAAACCCCCTAAGTACATCCCCAAGAGCAGGAACCTAAAGGAAACAAGTGTTTAAGAAGACGCCAGTGCGAAGAGAAACGCTTAAAGTTGGTCTAAACGAACCTCCTTAGACAAACAGGAGCTGAAGGACCAGTGAGGTCACTCGGTGACCAGAGACGGACACGAGAAAGCTCAAGTTCGCTGAGGGACAGTGTGAGAAAGGCTGTGGGGACCTCTAAGGAGGGGAGAAGACCCTCGCTCTATTTTTATAACGCATGCTCAGACTATGTAAATGAATTCTAAACCGCCATTAGCATAAGACTTCTTTTTCTAAGAAATTTAATGCATATGTATGGTTTTTGTGTGTATTAATTTTGTGAGTGCAGCACTTGTGGTGGAGTGATCCCCAGCGCTGCGATGATCAGTTGTACTCAATCCTGACCGTGGAGTGATGCTCTTTGTTTCGGGGGCCGCCTCACCCCCACCCCGCCCTTCGCCGCAGGGCAGCCCTGCTCGAGCAAGGTGGTTCCTCCGAGGGAGCCTACCCCGCTCACGTCCCGGCTCGCATCAGCACCGCCGAGCTGCGCTGCGCCTGCATCCCTACCTGCTTCTCTCTGCAGCTCTTTAAGCTTTTCCCTTGAGGCAGTGGGATAAACCTGCCGCAGGCATACAACAGGCTCAGCACAAGTACATCAGCACTCCTCCAGCACCATCCAACAGCACTGGGGGATGGGGACAATCTCCAGCGTTCACTAAAAAATATGAAAAATCATCAGTGTAGCTCCCAGGTACCACAAGGTCACCACAGGTGTCCTAGTGTCATGAGGGAGGGATGACTGCTTAGCATCTGATGAGTGTGTAGCGGCAGCAGGGCAGCCTGACTGGGATACTGGGCACTTGTGGTAAGAGTACCAGAGGCTACTTAACTCACGTGTCTTCCTGCAAAATCAGAGCATCGGGGCCTTTTTGGCCAGGGTGTGTTTCATTCAGATCCGTCCTTAAGCAGTGTCTCAGCTGTAGCTTAAAAATCCGCTGAGCCTCAGCTCAAATGCATGTACTATATTTCTTTCCCTCAAGGAAATCCTACAGCCAAAACAATATTAAAGAGTAATTTGGATAATTCAAATAGAGCAGACAGAATGGAGGAAGTAATTGCAGCTTTAATACATTTATTACTCATGCATCAGCAGCGCTAGGACAAGTTCTGTGCAGTATCACTGCAGCAAAATCCACTGCAGGGCTCCTCATTACAGTGCTGCTTTGGAACAAATTGTGACCTGCACATCTAGCCTCCTCCTATTTATTTCTCACAAATAAGGCTGGTCTTTTGAAATTTCCCACTTCTTAAGCACTGGTCCTGGTGTCACCGGTTTCTTCTCAGCTGTTGTCACTTCAGAGCCTGAACTGGGGAAGAGAAAGGAAGAGAGAGAAGAGGCTTTACTAACAGTGTGAGCATCAGAGTCAGATTTAATCATGAGAGGTTTTATTACTGCTAGAGCGGTTTGTTAAGTCAGCTCCCAGCCACCTCGCTTATTCAAGAGATACAGACACAAAAAATTCACCCGGCATTCTTCTACCAACCTGTGAAATCCAATTACTGGAAGAGTCCCGCGTTTCTGGCCTAAACCAAGGCTTAAACCCGGCTCAAACTCGAACAGCAGCAGCACCAGCGCTGCAGGACAGACCAGGTCAGACCTACCCGCCAGCTTGAGCCCCCGCAGGGAGGGTTTTGTGCGCCGTCACAACCACGATCGGCGGGAAAGACTCTCGGCGTCCATCCCGGCTGCAGTAATAATTATCGGCGAACTTGTGACTGGGGCCCACCGGGAGCCGAGGAGGCGGTTGGCTTCTAGACAAGAGAACGGGTTCCGCAATTATCAGCGGCTGCCGCCGAGCCTCAGCGCTCGTACCGACACCCACAGCCCACCCCGCCCTGCCGGCACCTCTTGGATATCTCCGTGTAGCGCAGCGAGAGCTTAGCCTGGAGGTCTCGCTGCAAGGCAAAGCCGACAGCGTCTCACACGACGCCGGGCGCTGCGCTCCCCGCGGGCCGCTGCCCT